GAAAAGAATATTGATAAATACATATGTTAATGTTAAAATGAATTAGTATTTTATTTTCCAACAAAAAAAATTACGTGAAATTGGCACGATGTTCAATTTTTAAAAAACGATAGTTTCAATAATATTTTTATGCTAGTATTCATAGTTTTATTTAAGATCGTCTTAAGTAAGCTTGTACGATTACCTTATTGGTTGAAATATAATCTTAAGACGATCTTAAATATAAGAACTGACTATGAATATCGCCCATAGTCAGTTGTTATATTTAAGATCGTCTTAAGATAATATTTCAATCAATAGGATAGCTGTATGAGTTTATTTAAAACAATCTTAAATATAAGAACTGACTATAAATACCAGCCTTAGAGTTCTTTTTAAAGTATAACTCTACCACTATTATAAAACCACTCTAAAAGGAGTTAGATAAGTTTGAGAAGTTTTTATTTTAAATTTAAATTTAAATAATGCGAAGATGTATAATTATGTAAGTATATTCTTGACCCATGAATTATGAATATAGCACGGACCAGAATGCAACTTTATCAGCAATCGAAAAATGGATATAGTTACAATTTGGAATATAGGTCCAAATTAAAAAAATATTGGCAGTAATATACACAGGATGTTTTAACATTCCCACGAAAAAAGCCGTGATGGTCATTGTCAGGTTTCTCTTTAGTACGCTAATGTCTCGACGCCAATGCCTCGTATTTCTGGGAAAGCGAGAAATTTTTGATTAGCTAACGTGTCACACACTTCTTATACGCGTTCTGTGTGCGAGAGTTATAAAAATATATATCTCCTTTTTTATTATAATAGAAAATATAGAATATAAAATGCTTTGCGATATTTTATCTTCTGTCAAATATGATGCTTTCCTCTGTTTTATTATTCTTTTTCTTTTATTATTTTAAATTTTCAAAAATTTTCTACAGATTTTAATGTTATATTACATAATTTTAATTTAAATATTATAAATTTTAAATATAAACATTGTTAAACATTTTTCTTATCTATCTATCTATCTATTTGGCAACTTTGACATGTATAAAATGCACTGTGCAAACATAAAAAGATTGCGTTTTATTTCGTATAAAAAGTACAAAATTATTTTTATATGTACATAATAATACATAGTTGGAATATCTACAAGGATACTCGAAATAATTTGCCATTTTTGCGATATTTCATCTCACTCCGAAATCCTTAAACTCTCCTATTTCTATCCAAATCACATAAAGGAACGCCTCGTAGCGTTTGAATTTGACATCGTGGAAAATTCGTCGCTTTTTTTTTTACACTATTTTTCATTGATATTCGCATAGCCAATATATTGATCTAAATATCCGAGTTTTTTTTCCTCGTCACGAAGCAATAAAAAGTTTAATTTGATTTAATCAAAGCCACTTGAGAAATATGTTACATGTTTACGATACAAAAAGAGACTTTTTTTATCCCCAACAGGATCTTGATTATTATTAGTGTGTTGCAGAGCTCTATGAAAAAGGAATTTCTGCACTTCCGGCCATGGATTAAATATTTTTAAATATTTCAAAGAAAACTTTCTTTACGAGAATTTAAGTTAATACGTCGAGAAGGTAGAGTCGTCAATGGAATCAGTGCCGTCGGAGTTGCTTTCGGCAGCGTCCACGAAGGCCGTCGAGAGATCACCGGCCAGCTTGCTGACGGAACCAGAGGTCACATCGTACATGAAGATTTCCTTGTCACCCTGATCGTCACCGTCTTTCGGCCTAAAACATTGCAGTGAATCCAAGTGAAAGCGCGCAGCCTCATGAACTCCTTGACTTTCAAGCAGATTCACGAGACGGGCATTATAATACGTGACAAAAGAATCATATCAAAAAATTAATAAAGCGTATGGTCAATCGGCTCGTACACGTAAATAAAGATAAAGAAAAACGTAATTATGAACAATAGTCGTTATAATGAAATTAAGAACTTGAGAAGAAGAATTTAAAATTAAAATTATTTGCAATCGGGTGACAAACAAAAGAAATGTAAAAGATAAATTTAAATAGTTAGATTTATAATTTAAAAATTTAAAAATAAATAAAGATAGTTCAGAATTACGCACTAACAAAAAATAAAGACATTTTTTTTTGTTTAATCAGTTGTTTAATCACACGATAATCGTTTTAAGTAATTTAAAAGTAATGCTTAAATTTAATATTATATTACATTATCAACACGAGTATAGACGCAAAGTGATGTAATATATCAATTTTAGAAAGCGGCATCGGAAGAAGCGGCGGCGGAAGAAACTAAATGTCTAAAAGTGCCTGAACCGTTAAAGGAAAACGAATCACGCGACAATCCTATTACGTGCACGCGTTACCGCGTAGGCGGATGGTCGGATGGCAGGATGGTACTTACATGGTCACCAGGAGCACGACGGATTGCCTCTGCGGCTCGGTGCGGCTCTCCTGCTCGAGCCACTTCTTGTAGTTTTCCGCGGTAGGCTTCTTCATGAGCTGCTTGAGGGTGTCACCGGCGAGAAATCTGACCGGCTGCGCGTCGCCGCCGGCCTTCCTGCCGCGCCGCTGCGATTCCGCGATCTCCCTCTCCTCGCCGGGAAAGTCGTAGTCAACGGGCGCCAACACCACGACGCTCGAGATCTTACGGCCGTTGAGCTCCGGCACGTCCGGTATCGGAAAGGACGCGCCGCTCACTTTGAGCGGCAGGTAACGATTGTACTGTGCGGCGTCGCCGCGCGCTCCCACGGTCACCGGTTCGAGCCGGGTCGCGTCGTCCCGTATGTGCCGCTCCGCCACGGCCCGGCCTTGCTCCGTATTCGGATCGAAGCGTACTACTTTCATCTCCACGCCGCCGGGCCGCAAGGTGGCCTGCTCGAACTTGGTCGAGTTGCCGCCGCCGGAGTTGGCGGAGGCGGTGATCGCCTTCTTCGTCTGCTGCGTCGTCTTCGAAGGTGGCCTTTTGACGATCGCCGGCACGGGCTCGCTGCCGGCGGCAATCGCCGCCCCACCCCCGGCACCGTAAAAATTCGCCAGGGCTTCCGGCGGCAGTTTCTCGATCGGTATATCGCCAATTTTGTCATAATCGAGAATCTGAATGTCGGCATTTCCCAAAATACCGGAACTCAACAGCTGCTCCCTGATATCGTCCGGCACCTCGTCCGGCAGATTCGCGATGTTCTCTTTGATCTTGGCCGCCTTTTTCGGAGAGAGCGTCGTCGTGGTTGGCGCCTCAGTGGTCGTGGTGGTCGTAGTTGTGGTAGTCGTCGTTGTAGTCGTTGTGGTCGGTAAGAATGTTCTAATAGTCGACGGCGAGCTGAAATCCTCAGAGGGACTGACTGGCGTTGCATAGATCTTCTGCGAGGGATTGTTCTGGAACAACGGCCGACCCCATATCGAGTGCTGCTGAGAGGAAGTGGTCTGCGATCGTTGTGGCGATGTCGGAAGATTCTGCGAGAAGAAGTCCTGCGGGCTATTCTGATAAGATTGATGCTTTGTTAGTTGGTATTGTTGCTGTTGTTGCTGTTGTTGCTGTGGACCGTCAGAGATAAAGTGATTTGACGGATTTCCGGAGAGTCGCTGGGAATTGGGAAGAACATTAAGCGACTGCGCGGATACAAACTGATTCTGAGAGAGTTCGGGTAACGCCGTTGGTTGTACCAACGTGGGATTCGGTGGGAACGGGCCGGGATGAAGAGGATTCTCTCGGATCGCGTAATGCTGCTCCAACTTCGGTACAGCCTTGAAGATTTCACCCGCCGGTCGTTGCGGTGGTAATTGAGGCGGTAATTGTGGTTGCAATTGCGACTGCAATTGTGGTTGCAATTGCGGTTGCTGAAGCTGCGCTTGATTATATTTGAGTTGTGCGCGATACCGTTGTTGTTCCTGAAGGAACTTGAGTTCCTGTTCTTGTTTTCGTCTGCGTTGCTCTTGTAAACGTTGCAACTCTTGCAATCGCTGTTGTTCCTGCAGCGCTGTTGCTCTTGTAATCGCTGCTGCTCTTGTATCGCTGCTGCTC